ACTTTCGCAAGGATCGGTCACGGGATAAGTGACCAAAAAATCATTATCTTGAACTACTTCGTGCTTCGGAAGGCACCTTAAGCCGTTAGGCCGTCGTTAATACCCTCCAATCCGCATTGGGCTGGCGTGGTAGGTCATGGCCCATCCTTCTTAACCCTCCATGAGGAAGGCCTGAGCCCCTGCAGTGGGGACGTAAAAGGGCTGATAATGATGATGATGAATCATGTTTGGAAGCTAGGGAAGTTATGAGGATATAGCAGTAACAATAACTCGAGATAATTGTCGAGGTAGTTTAAAATCTAATTCATTGAAATCGAAGCTTTTATAGAATTATTATTGATTGTGGAAATAGTTAATGAAACGAATCGTAGCAAGCAGTAATTGTGTGGTCCGAATCACATTGTTATATATGTCATGTTCTCATTTTTCCTGGCCTTATTTTAAGACTCAGTTAAGCGCTATGAAATATTAAAAGAATTAAGATGTTACACGTCACTGCTTGCTTCATTTTCGGACATGAATCTTACAAATTAGACATTTTATAATCAGTACTCACTATGGAATAGTCCACCAATTGTAAACTTTATCTCTAAGATTTAATAACAATTTCATAAAAAATCATTTATTTAGGTATACATATTTGATATACTTTCCTACATACACAAATTGAAATGATTCTTTTATTTATGTATTATCAAAAAACATTTCGATTTGTGACTCAATTACTTCAGAGAGAAGGTCTAAAATTAATTGATGCTGTTTTGGTCCTCCGGCGTGTTTACGTGAAATTACTGAATGAGTCACACCAGTGAATTACACAAGACCTGTATCAAAATTCATTGAATAATTAAAATTAAATGGAAGCTGCCTCTCTCAGCTTTGCGTAAAGGCTTAGTGCCAACGACCCAAATCCCAGTAAATGTTTATGTTGAATTAATAATTTATGGGAGGAGCTTGATAAGGCAATGGCTAGCGCTCTCGCTCTGCGATACCGTCGTCAAGAAACTTTCGCAAGGACCGGTCATATGATGAGTGATCAAAAATGTATAATCTGGAACTACTCTCGAAACTGGGTCCGCGTGATGGGTCATGGCTCATTCTCACTATATAATTTTATTTGACCTGTCCACAACGAAGGGCTGTGCACCTGCAGTTGGGATATTAATAAGCTGGTGATGGCAATGATTTTTTTGAAACATTTGTATTCTAGGAGGTCCCCCGAATACAATGAGAATTTTGTTTAGCCAAACCCTGATACAATTCATTTTATAGCTGTTGAAGTGTTTGAACAAACAATGAACTTTGTTTTTTAATATTTGACGCTAATAGTTATCATGAAGCTTATTTTGGTTTGCGGCGAATGTATCGAGAATAAATTAGTAGTTGTTATAACTCAGTAAACTCACTTACAATTTACTTAATAAACTTAAGTACGGTGCAGAGTTTTAACTTTAGCTAATTCCAACTTTCTGAACTTTCTAATAACTTATACTCTTCAAGATTCTAACACATAATGTTAACAGAAAATTGCGTAATGTTCATAAGTTATGTAAATATACAAGTATCTGATCTACATATTAAAACGTAAAAGAAAAAAAACATTGCAACCCATTTTACGAAAATAACACGGATGACGTATTATGAAATCTGACAAGGACCATCTTGATTCTTGGCACTGATCTTGGCGTTGACTTTTTTATTTGCTTGTAAATGTTTTTATAATCACTTACTGTGGTCAGTAAAGTTCTTTATTTATTCAGAAATTATGAAATCGTTATAATTGTTATAAAACAAAACGTAGTCATAGTTTGTTAATTTACTCTACGTATAATCAATTTTTATATCTGATAAATATTTGGATTTTTTAATCCTAAATTGATATTTTACAAGAGAAAATTAAATAAAGAAGCTTAAAAATTTACCAGTCACATTTATTAAGTTGTTAAAAATCAAAAGTTTTCATTCAAATAAGTTTATTACAAGCACTTTTGAATCGTTAATTTTTTCCTACCACTTGTTCAGGATCTCTTTTGACTGGCAAAATGAATTTTAATAAATATGTAGATATAATTAATATTTTAATCGACGGCTGGCTAATAGATTGCTCGTGTTCATAAATTAGATTTTCTTAAACAACTTCGTCCGCGTTTTATAGTTTCTTTGGGTAGCATTTCTAAAAACTTTAAAACAAATATTATCTGAATATAAAGTTTCATAATATTATCTTTAAATCCCTATTTCACCCTTTTTATCATAATTAGAATCAATATATGTCCTATCTTAAGTCAACTATTTTTAGTAGGTTAGGCATAGCTTAACTAGGAAACAGTATAACCAATCGCCTAAGCAGATTAGTTTGATTACAAATAATTTTCTTTTTCTTTTACCCCTTGTCATATCTATAACCTATCAAATACGCAAATTCCAAGCGCAAAGCGCCACCTAACGAATATCATAACTTTAGACACTGCTTAGTTACATTAGGTGGTTCCTAGTCAATGGTAAAATGTATTAACAGATATATGCAGTCTTACTTTTGCTATATAATATTATCAATGAGAAACTGAACGATTCTCTTTGTGGCTCATTATAGGTATCATATAAAAAGAGATTACCTGACAGTTACCATAATAAATAGATTAAGAACAACATAAAATGCAGTTGCTTGTATTCTTAATGTGAGCTAATAACTTTCTGATATCGTCTCCGAACGAAAACTGATTGTTCGCTATCACAACGTTTCCATTAATCCGAGAATATCGGGAAATTTTGACGAACCGATTTGTTCTGAGTGCGAGCGATTTGCAGCGCCGCAATTAGCATTGGACAGTTGACAGGCAATCCATTTATGGTGCCAAATATCTAACGTCGAGTATCCGCTACACGTTTGCTAATAACAGATCAGTAAAGTTACCAAATGGTTGGCAATAATGAGAAAGTATTTATAGAAATAATAGTTCTCGAGATAAAACTAGATGTCGCTATGTACATTTGAAAGATTTGTTGTGTGGAATTTGTCTATGATATTCGATTCGATTTTCTTTTTCACGTAATTAAATTAAACTGAGTTGCATAATCGATAAATAATTCATATTTTAATATGTATCACTTCGTGCTTATTATAATATCTTAGATTCGAAAATTAATTTTATCATTTTGATAAAATTAATATTTTTTTCTTGTAAAGGAACGAAAATTACTTTTATTATAATGTCAGTATGATACTAGTGAACCAGATAGTGTGGAACAACTGAAACAGCGCATATAAGACGCTTTTGACGAAGTGAAACAGCAAAGACCCGTACTTTTATCGTTAAAAAAGCGATTCAATAAAACGTGTTTATCTGTGCATAGACAATGGAGGGGGACTCTTTGAACAGTAATAAAAATACGTGTAAGTTTTTAAGTTCCCTAAATAGGTTGGTTAATTATTGTTATATTCGTACCAAATTAACATGACACCTGTGTACCTATTCTTTTTATATTCGAACAAATTTCAAATAGTTCTTGTTAATATTATATCCGTGAAGGTTATATTACGAGATGCAGTCAGGTTCTTCTTTTTTTCATTATATGTTATCGAAAATTGTGCTTATTAGCATTTAAAAAAATTGATGAAATTTCGTTTTCGGAGTAGAAAAAGTCGTCAGACGTCAATACGTATGAGTAGTGAATATTGATGGATATTAACTTTTTAAATACGCCAAAATGTCTTTTTCTTTTTTCGCTAGCAATAAATTTGATATTTACATTCTTTAGTTTTTTATTGCCGTTTTTAATTACAAATTATAAGTCAAAACAGGGTATTTTCCCAGTCCTAAGCCCGATTGAAATATAAAAGAAAAGTTAGAATAAAGCGCCTATCATTTTCAAGACTAAGGTCAATGCCCGTTAAATGCAATGTAAGAACTTTTGAATTCTGTTATTGCTATTGCGCTCGCACATCGATGCATCACAATCTAGCCAATTTTGTCATAGTAAAGTGAACCTAAAAGTTTATGTACGATATCTACCTGTAGACAATGGTAAATACGGTCAATGTACAAAACTTGGGCGTGGTCATGTCATCTCGTTCATTCCGGCGACTGATAGAACCAGACGACACGATTGATTGGACATTTATGTTATGAATGAATTACAAATTACGCCCAGAAAATTGTAAATTTAGATTAATTAGCTCTTAAGTTCTTAGTAGTAATTATATAATATGAATTATTATTTTGTCTTGAATTTAGTTTTGGTGCGTTTTTTGTATCAGATTAACTTGCGCTATATCTAAGCTAGGTCTAAGTTAAATCAGGTAAAAATAAGTAATCTATATTCAAATAAACTCATTAACAGAAGAACCAGGGACAAAGTGAATTTTTAAGCATTTTTCATTAAATTTTGTTTTTTTGACTAGGAAGAGAAGAGAGAAACAAAAACTGACGTTGTTGATGTTGTATTAGAAATTGTAATAAAACATACTAACTTATAAGAGATTCTTATTCATTTTCATTCATAATCTTAGTAGAGTTATTATAAATCTAAACTAACCTTAACATATTTAACGAGATTTCTATGAACTGTGGATGCTTACAATTTTACGTATAAAGGTATATTTAAATAAAAGTAAATAATATTTCGTATTAAAAAACAATTATTTTTATAAAATTACAACACTAGAATTTTAACAAATAGTTGATTTATGTTAAGCGGAAGTAAAGTATATGTAGATTGTTTTCTGGTTTTACAAAATTTTATATGTAAAAAATAAGTTGGTTACATTATTTTATATGATGAAAATTTTGAATATTAAGAAACACTAATATAAGTTTAAAGATTTGAACTTACAAATTTAAAATATAACTATAAAATATCTTTCACTTATGCCAACAACCAGATTAAGTCATATTCAGATTCTGATATAATTAATAAGGTTATAAAAATCAATTTTATTTGAAATTAATTATTATTTACATTACATTAAAAAGGATAAACTATAGCATCCAATAGCATAATTAAAAGCTAAGATTCATGGCTTCATCTTGACACAAAGAGACCTCTTTGATCAATGACTGCTGTCCAGCTGATAGTGAACTCCTAATATTTGAAACACCCCAGGTCTTACTTCTACGGAGAGGTGGTCTACCGCAAATTCTTTCTCCGTATTTATACTTTTTATGGTTCAGTGGACTCAATTCGACGTCTGATAACTCAGAGCACTTGCGTTTAGAAGCAGAGGATGACGTAGAATCGTTTTTGCTTGAATTGTGAGGTGTCGATATGGCTGTAATGAGTGAATTTTCGGTAGATAAACAGATTAAAATATAAAAAAAAAACATACCAACATATTACACATTTTAACTAACATAAGTATTTTAAGCAATGCAAAATTTTTGGCCGCAGGTAGATGGTGTCAGTATTTTAAAATGATCTGACCCTCATCTTCAGTCTATTATGTATCTACTGTTAGGACAAAAACCCTAATTAAAGTATAGAGTATAAGTATAGAAATACGCGGGCTCAGTGCTGATTGTTGGGTGTTAACGACAGCAGAGGCAGCTGGAACTAACGACAAAGGCACGGAGGAGCTCGAGATAAAAAAAAAATCTGTCTAAAAAAGATAATAAATCCAATGATTGGCCCTTATAAAATTTGCATAACTTCCGCACCGCTAACCAAACACTATCTTAATAGTTTTTAAAATGGCCATTTTATTTTATGGTCTTTGTCTCCTGCTCTGCTATTCTGTAATAACCTTAATCTCGACTTAAGGCACAAGGCTGTCACAACATGGAAGCTCAGTCAAATAAAACCTACTTCAAAAGGTAATAAGGGTTTTAGGTTAATTGAACCTCTATTTTGAAACAACTGTGCTCGACGTTGGAATCGGGATTGATTTCTAGAACAGCAAAGCAGAATAAAATGTTATACCAATTGTTAACATATTTGACTATGATAAATTAACGAGATCAAATTAAATCATAAATATTAGTCCTTATAATAATATATTTTTGTCTTGTATTCTAGGATTTAGATATAATCTAATGCACACCAATTTTTATATTCATATTAAATATATTTTCTCATACAAATTTATAAGTTTCAAAGCTTTTTTCCATGTTTTCTTATGTAAATATCAATATTATTACTTACACCCTTTGGTATTTTTCATACAGTATTGTTGTTAAGAAGACTAACATTATTTACTTATCAGTAAACAATAAAGTCGCTATAATATATCTTTATAGGATCTATTAAGTATTAAGGCTCCTTGCCTTTAAGAAATAAAAAATGTAATAATGTGAAAAGCAGCCTCCCGGAGCGGAACGGAATTCCACTTTGACTTAACAAATTTTAATTTTATATAACCTTTTATCTTTTTGGCCTCGTTCCCGTGTTATATGAATTTTAAATCCTATTATATGAATTTGGAAGTGATCCAGTGATGGGTTTTATCTCGGCTGTTTAATGTAATAGGTCGTGCTTTGTAACTAGTAGTTACCAATTAAGTCATGTCATGAATAATCATTTTAATACTAAGCTTGCACATTAAAATATTGAAACTCTTTGGTACAAAATAGTATAGAATTGAGAACTAAAGTTGGCGATATTTTCAAATTTGACTCAATCTTTTTTTTGTAAATGTTAATTCGTTGAACATATTAAGTGCATGTCTTGTCGAAGCACAAGAATAAATTCAAATTTTTTGTTTTGACAACAAAATTACGATTTCCAAACAATTGGTAATTACGACAATGAGTTTCATTTGACTTTTCAATTCGGTTAATACATAGCAATGGTTTCTAAGCAAAGTAATAAAATTTATTGCATAAAGTTTTGCAATAAAAATACAAACCTAAACTATCCCCATGCTCTCCCCAAAACACATTTCTCACCGCTTTAGCAACACTCGACCAGATATTTTCTTTATTTGATTCCACATTCCTTTCGATTTCACTGGACCTTTCATCGACCCCTTCTTTGTCGTCCACAATCCTTTTAACGCTGACTTTCTTTTTAGTAATGACAAATTTAAATTGTATCTCAGTTTCCTCCTCGCTGGCTTTCAAAACAGAACTAAGACAATTTTGAAGTGACCCAGCTATATTAGTAGTGAGTGCTGTAATTGCATTGTTTATACCAACGTTTTGAACGGGTGATTCAACGCAAGACTTGAATAATTCATTCGATTCTTTTAAGGTGTTTTCTCTTTCCACAATAGGACTGTCTTCTTTGAAGTTTATTGCTCTTGCCGGCATGTGAGCATGTTCACCCACCGGTGGTGTACTGTCTGGGATTTTTTCTTTATTCTGAATAGGTGTTCTTGCCATTGTTTGTCCGTTATTTTCAAACCGGTTAATTAGAGCTTGAAAGCGTGGATTGAGGCAGTATTTCTTTTGTGGACCAGGCGTAAGCAGGCGTTTTGGTTTTCGATACACTGCAACCATATATTGTTTTAGTGAAACACTTTATTAATATTCTATTGAATTTACCGAAAATAGGAAACAAACATATACCTCTTTTTAATTTGTTTTCTTGCTCAAATACGGTGCCATCGGCAAATTTAACTTTTTTTGTTTTTATTGATGAAACTTCAGTACTATTTGCAGAATCTTGGAATGTAACGTGTTTCTCAGAGCTATCTTGGCTACCGAGACGGAGTCGAGTGCCAGTGATGATAATGCTTTTTAACTTTGGTGCAAAATTTTCATTCTTCGAAGCCTGTAGGAAAGTTTTTTTATTTACATAAGATTACTAATATTCTTCTGCAGCATATTTATGCATTACGCCGTGATTAATTTCAATATAAGCATAATTGTTGAATATTACCTCATTTGTGAGATTTTGTGCAGGACTCTCAGGATTTTCGATTTCTGATAGTGGTGAGTCTGCTCCTTGTTCAGGAAACATTGACCAACCACCAGCGACAGGATGTGTGGGAGTACTTGTTGTGACAGCTAGTGCCAATTTCAAAATATTATGCTGTACATGTGATGTTGGGGTTGTCATTTCAGCTTGAGTACCTGGAACTTCTAATTGAATATTAGATAAAAATTAAAATAAAAGTACTGGAAGAATTTAAATGATTTATACCATCTGTAGCATCATGTCTCAGTGATGTAGTTTTGTTTGTAACCGGTGAGCTATCATAGTCGTCATCGTTAATAGTTTCCTCATATTCTTCCACAACCTTCTGTCGCATAAGCGGAAACAGTTTCTTTGTATGTGGAGTACCTGCACGTTGTCTTTTTTGTCTTGGTGTTTTTGGCACTAGTTTAGGATGAGGCGTTACTGCACCAGAGTTTTTGAGATCGTCCGACTCACTTTCACTCGATTCGTAATCAACCAGGGTCTTCTTCCTTACAATTGGAGTTATCACAGCAGTTTTACTTGACTTATTTATTGAAACGATAGCTTCAAAGTTTTCGCCTTCATTATTGTTTGTTATCTTTTCATATAAAGAGTCGAACTTTTCATCTACTTCTTTTGACTTATCCTTTATTTCGACTTCTTTAGTTATCAATTCAGATATACTTGTACATTGATTAACGTTGGTTAGATCTTCCATCTTATAAAAATAATTATCGCATTTACTACAGTGTAACGGAAAATGTTCTTCTAACAGATGTTGCTTAAATTCTGAATTCAAAGTTTCCGGATTACATAGAAATTTATTTCCGCGGCAAATAGGACAATTATACTTTAATCCATGTGCAATTTGTTCATGATTCCAACGGCAGTTCTCGCAACAAAATACGAGCTGGCATATAATACAACATTCCTTAAACAAACGTAACAAATAAATAATAAATCATTAAACAATGTCACGTTTACAGATCACAATAAAACATTATTTACTAAATTCATTTATCAATAACATAAACTCAATATTAACACCGGTAGTGCTGTTCTGTTATAAATGCAGCCTCAAACTCGACGTCTAGTTTGTGCTATAATAGCATAGATGTTAAGTTAAATAAAGTAAGAAAAGCTTTCTTCTATAGATGGTCTAAGCTGTCACTGCTCAGACTATCATACTGTGGTCCTTACGATAAGTGTAATGACTCGAAATTTTGGGCAAACCGATTTAAGTACACATTCGTGGTCAAAAAATGAGATCTATTTATTTCTTCTTTTTATTTTGATAGTCGAATTGATATGTGTAATATTTCAAAATTATAGTAAAATATAATAAAAAAAGATCACTGAAAACTCCGCACGTTCCATTTCTCTCTTCTGTTGGTTACTACTAGCTAGAAAATAGCAAAAATACGTGAAAAGCCAACGTGGAAATTGTTCTGCGACCACCGCAGACCGTCTCTGAAATAGGCTTAGCGGAAAGCAAAAACGTGTTTTCCTGACCAAATGCATTAAGGTCTGGACACAGTACGCGCTCCAGTCGACTTTAAATGTAAAGCATTTTACTAGACGCTTTGATGCTTTAAATTGAGCATGAATCTGGAATGTCCGTTAAGTGAGAACCTACACTAAAAATGATTATCTTTGATTAGTAAATAATAAATAATTTCCACATAAAGTGTAATTAAAAATGATAAAACAACATAATATTTAGTAATGTCATAATTTATTATTTTTTTAAATAACAAAGTTAAACTAGAAATACACAATTTTTGATTCTTTCTAGTAATTATACTTTTTATATACGGAAATTGACGGGTATTTAATTCACTTTATAGCCTATGATTATATGCAACATATTTACAAAAATTAATTCACTATCATCTGCACCTATCCATTTCATTGCCGGGCACAATGAGATAGATAGGTAAGGCCATTTATCTTTACGCTCAACCTACACACGTAGGTTTCACTTTGCTAAAAATTTCCTTTCTTTGATTAAATCAAATCAAAATCAAATCAAATAATTTATTGGCCATATAACTCGGAAGGTTACACACGGCAAGTCTTTTACAATAAGCATATTAAATTAAAAATAAAGGTTTAAATCATGCAGGTCAAATCATTGTAAGTAGGAATGTCAAATAAATTAATTATCTTAACAATGTCAAAATGGTTATTTTTCCGATCCTTAATAATCAATTATATCACAGTCAATTACAATTAAATTACAACATCACAAATTAGATTATACAAACATAGATTATATACAATATAATTTTATGTCATAAAATATTGATGATTATTATATCTTGTCATCTACCATAGAGATCTAGTCAATTTCGTATCTCACCCATCTTTATGTAGGAATGAATATTCATCCAAACGCATAGACATAAATTCATTTAAAGAGTATAAGGGATGCTGAATAAAAAAAAAATTAATGTTCTTTCGAATTCGTCGTCATTCATGTCGATTAACATGATATTTACTAATATTAATTTAAGAGTAAAATGCCTTTATTATAAAGGTTAACAGAAAGGTTTAAAAATACAAAAGTTTGACCTTTGATATAGTCAAGTCGAGTCCATTTGAAATCCATGATTGTTCATGCATGCTATAAAATAAATTATGATGGCAAGTTTAACTAATTACGGGAAAACGACTATAGTTTATGAGGGAGCAAAGCTGTTTAACCAATTACCTAATGACCAATTTGTAATAACATAAATAACATAAACTGCAGTGCAAACCTAGCGTAATTTTATTATATTCATACTAATCTCATTATAATTGAAATGTAAATTTCTTATGAGAATAAAGTTCTTTAAGCCTAAGTTTTTCATTTCAATGTATGATTAAACAAGCCTAATATTTTAAATAAAATATTATATTTGGTCAATTTTGCATACACAATGATATACTGAAAAATATTTTTGATGAAAAATGCTTAAAAAATCTACTATGTCCCTGATACTCTGAGATGGGATTATGTAATAATTTTTCATTAAGGATACTTTACTATAAAGTTCAATCATTAAATCATATATATGTATATACATATCATATGTATATATAACTATATGTATATGTATAATAAAATAAACTATATGTCCTTGAATATTCACTTATTTGGTTAGGTAGATTATGAAAAATCTCGTAACAATAAAAATATATATAACCCAAACATAAAAAAAAAATTATAAAATCATTCATATTTTAATGTATTCGATAAATTCTGTCTTGATTTTAGAGTATCTAAGTTATCAATCTGGTAATCGTTTAAAAGCTTATTTCTGATATAAAATATGCAAATTGTACATTAATAAAATAGCATTAGGATTCACCTTTCGGATATTACCTTTCTTTAATATTAGTTTATCGGAAATTATCTTTCAATTTAAAATTTACCTCGACAGATGATTTCATCATCGGCTTCGAACATTTCTTCTTATAATGACATCTTTTTATCTTCGAAAATCACTGATATTCTTTTAGTTATGTTAATGTTTGTTTAAATGAATATTTTGATTTATCACAGTTATTATAACACTGTTTTATAGTGGTATTATTGCGTTTTGCAAACTTTTATTACGATCAGCGCAAACACTTCTGTGTACCCTCAATGTTGATATTCTGCTGTACTTTTTATATCTTCGATGTCTTACTTAAATGTGAGGTAAATAAACATATGTTCGGAAATTCTGTAAGTAAAATTTTAGAACATTTGGTAATGCAGTGATATAATTGGCATGCATTTCAAACTTTTTAATTTTATGACGTAATACTCATGTATTTCAAAATATAGCACTTTGAGTTTCAATAAAAAAATAATTTTAATATCATACCTATATTTAGTTACCTTATTTGAGATAAATGTGATAAGAAGAATGTGTGGATAATAAAGAGATATACAGAAAATAACTAGATTTACTGTAACTTCCGCCACTACTTACCTAAGATAAAACGGAATTCCTGAGTCTTTGTGAAGTCACGGGTATCTAAGGGGTCGAGTAATACAAGAAATGCTGATCATGCAAGAGTTGAAAGTTTTCAGCGAAGATGTGAATACTGCCATCAACGCACTAGAAAATGTATGCAAAATGCAACATTTTGTGTTATCTAAAAAACCGAACAACCTCAAGTGTTGGTACTTCTTTCAGATAAATAAAGTTTCTATAATGTCACATGTACAATGTCACATGTACAATGTGACATGTTCAGAGTTCATGTTTGTTAATTTTGTAAATATAAATTCATTTTTTTCATAAATAAATCCCGTGTTTCATTAATTTCAAGATAACACTTAAAACCTCATATGCTGTATAGTTGAATGCCCAGCGTCACTTGTAGGTGACCCCTAAATAAAATGGGAAAAATACAGTTGATCGTTTTATTTTTATTTTTTCACCCTTTCAATATACACCTATTTACAAAATAATTTAAGTAAATGTATAAAAAGAGCATTAGTTTGGACATGGGAATTGATGAATTAATAACAGTATTCCTACTACCTCGCACCAGTAAAAATATAGTATTTGTCACCCGCGTACGTTGTACGTAGTTACCCGAAGCATAAAGATTTAATAAATTCTTGAATCTATGTTCAGAGATGGCGTTAGTAGTATTCCTAATTAGGTGTTCAATTCATACAAATAAAAATAACCAGTAAAGTAAATCAAATCCTTAGATTTAAAAAAGCCTAAGATGTCATTGTACAAAAACCGACATTGTTAATAATATTATAAAAGAAATTGAACTTAAAAGCACATCATGTTGTTCAGAATAAAAGTTGTATTTAAATACGTATTAAGTTCAATTTTTAACAAATCGAATATAAAATTTTGATGAAAACTGGTGACGGCTTATTAAAATGTATGGCTTTCTCCTTTTTCTATATAACTGATATGGTGTTATAAACCAAATGCACCTGAATTACAAATTTGGTTTATGTGACCAATTTCCTGCGGTTTCGCTGCGACAATTTCACGGAATCTGAACACATGAAAACAGTGACCGCAACAAATCTCCCTGCATCATGCGGATATTGTGCAATCCTGAGTCTACTGCATATAAAGATAGATTTGCTTTTACGATGTCATTTGTTTCGGAAATGTTTTGAATAGATAGCAGTAGTAACTCCAATAAGATATGTTAGAACAAAAACCACTTTTCTCTCATTTAATTTCTTATTAGAGTAATTTATCAGATTGTATATTGTTTACTGCAGAATCTAAGATTTACATGTATTGTACATGTGCTTATTAACGGACATGTATATTTATAAAATATGTAGAATGAATATGTGAACAAAATTTTAGTAAAATATCTCTTTTGGTTATTAGTGAAGATAAATAGACATCCGTTGTGGATATTCACAGAAGTGTAGAGCAAGAAACATTGAATCCCCATTTATAAGTAGAAGTTCTACTTATATATTATAATAGCTTTCTGATAGCTTCATCTACGTTGTCCTTAGGGAACTGTTTAGTGGGATAAAATGTAGCCCATATGTTAATCCAAGCTTAGAATTTAATTTAATAATTTTTGGATAAGGTTTCATATTATGACACGGATATAAATACAACTACTGTATAGTAAAGAATGGATACTGCGGTAACGATTCATTCCCATTACATTCCTTTATTTGCTGTTTTTCGGGATAAAATATGTTTTATGCTACAGCTTATGTCCACCGCATATGATGTA